CACTCAGATGCTGGGTTGTACCTTAGAAAAAGGTTTTCAGTTTCCCCGGCCCCTCTTCTGGCAAGCCGAACACACTCATATTCCACTCCATACACTTCAACACCATCCTCTAAAAACCTGCACAGATCAAGTGTTCACATTCCTAGAGGAACTAACGGGATGCTTTAAGATAAAAAGGGCTTTCCCATTAAGATTTTATTTTTAAGAACTGTCAACTGCAGAGGAGAAGTAGAGTTTTTGTTCGTTTGAACAACCTGCAGCATCTTATAAGCAAGCTTTCCACTTTGTACTGAACTTGTCAAGGTGACATCTCCCCAGCAGCGAGTTCATTTCCACACTTGCTTTTTCCGCGGCGGTATTCTGCTCTTCCTGCACAAATAGGTGAAGTGAAAGGAGATGGCAATATGATGTACTTCCTCATCCTTTACTTCAGAAGATGGTCCAGGAGAAGCTTGACCCAAAAAAACAAGAGACATGAAAGCCAAACATGGACGTGGCTCTGAAATAATTATACTCTTGTTCATGACATATTTAGGAGTCCAAAATGCCAAACCTAGTTTAATAGCAGATAGCATAAAGTTATCTTACAACACAATCTCACAGGACACGCAGTTGCAGGTTCACGTGTACCAGTCAGAAATATCAAGTTTATTAACTAATTTACTGTCAATAGCATGACTTCACCTCACCCTGTGCCAACTTAGTTTCACTGAAAACAGGGATTATAACAGACAGCGTGGATATTCTAATGGTCTCAAAATTTAGAAAATCGAAGTGCTTTATTAACAGTCATTAAAGCTATTACAGGGCAGAATCATTACATCACTACAAAGTTCATACTTTCCTTCTGTAAGACACCCCTGTATGTAGCAAGATGGCAGCTGTAAAAATGCAGATAAAACTCACTCATTTCTAAGCTTTAATTATTATTGGAGTGCAAGACTGGCCCTATTTGATTCAGAGTCGAATTGGGACCAAATCAGGGACAGTGATTCGATTCCTTGATTCGGATCATTGTCCCTGATTCTATTCACCCAGATCCAGATCTTAAGATTTGATGCTGATTCAGAGAATTGGCCATTTGGCCAGAGACACTGCTTTAATATTTGTCAACGTAGCATAGGATACCAGTGCAGCTGGTGAACGCTGAGCTGCTGGGGCACATGGAGCTTCCCAAAGGAGTGGGGGGCGGGGTCCCTACATGCTCGGCAGCAAACCCTGAAGTGGACCAGAAGTGCTTCTGCTCCATTCCTGGGTCTGTTGCGGAGTGCACTGGGGAGCCCCCATGGTCCTCTGGGAAGCTCCATCCCTTCCAGCATCACAGCAATCACGAGCCCCTGCTACCTACAGGTATGTAGATAAAACATTTAAAGATGTGTCTATGCCCAAATCCCCGAATCTTTCCAAATTGAATCACCAACCGAAGCATCGCACTGCCCTATTAATTAGGTCCTGAATAATACTCTAGGAATTTGGGACTTTTTTAATTGCATTGAAAAACAATGGCAGTTTTCTCTCTCTTTTTTGATAATATTCCACAGGCCACATCTGTTAGTGGTGTCACTGAACATAGTAATGAACTTCTTGGAATTTGGAACAGGGAAAGATGGAAAGACTCTTCTCCTTTCAAGAATTAAATGAAATTTTTGTTGGAGTGTTGTTCTGTAAAAGGCTGGGAAGCTATTTCTGAAACATGGCTCCTACCACACTCCAAGTCTGGTCAGGGTTCACATTAGCTCAATCATCTCAACACACTTCACTGCATTGAGAACACAAGAAATGCCTCACGGGACAGATCACAGGCACATCACAGGAGTGTTAAAGCAGCAGAGTGCATGTACAGGCAAACAATACTTAAGGAGGAGATAACCAAACTGACCTCTCCCTCCTTGTGCTGTGCTGTCATTTTAAAGGAAGCCTCTTCCTCCCTGGACTCCACTTGCACTCCATTGCAGACCGCCTGGCAAAGCTACAGTGGTGTGAAAGCGTTTTGCTGTTAACAGGAAAGAGATGCTTTTATCCTTTGTTTCTAACTACAAACTAGTCTACACAAACTGTATCATGGAGAAGCCATTTATTCCCCTCTTTACTTTGTGCTTTGCCCCATGGGAAAATATTCAGGGAAAAAAAGTAGTTAATAAAAAGAGGAAAACAATCAGCAGTTGCAAAGAAAGAAGTACAAAATGGGCCAGGTGTAGAATCGCAGTTGTGGCCCTTTGCAAAACCTAGGGAATATTTGCTCTCTCCTCTGTATTCCTTCACTGTCTGTATACTCATTTGCTTCTGTGCATTAAAATAACTATACTGTATAATATTTGCCTCTTGGTCTTTTTGCCCTTCCATTGCTTATTTGCAAACCTGCTGATGAAATTCCCTCCTGTGAAGGGCCCAGCACCCATCATGACTCAGTTCCTACTGAAGTCCTACCCAGAGATGAAAATCAGCCCTGGAGCATGTCTGTGTGCCCTGGTCTTTCCTCCTACCCCAGATGAGGGGTTTGCACTTCTCTCTCATATACAACCTATGGCCTTTTTCAGCCGTGGCTCCAGGAGTGATAATACTGCACTTTCTACATTGCAGAAACATAATGCCAGCCCTCAAACCACTCCAGCCCTTCCCTCCCATACCTATAAAAGCAGAGAGGAGCCTCGTGTCTCCCTCCCAGTCACTCCAGCCTCCAAGCCTGTTTTGCTCAAATGCATGTCCAAATTAAGACAAATCTTAATCTAAGCAGAGCTGATGTGCAATCCCAATTTCTAAACAAGTCTCTATGAAAAAGGAGGAGCCTGTCCGCATGTATTTGGAGGCAGTAGTCCCCTGTTCCATTTCCCCAAAATGCATATCCAGGTTTCCTCCTGTTTGATTACAAGGAGACTGGAGACTGCTGAGAGAGAGAGATGCCTCGCTCAGTCGGTTGCACATTGCACACACAGCAGTCCGGACTATCGAGTTTATTAACATTTTGACGGGAAATAATGTGACCTTAATCTCAACACACCACTACTAATTTGTGCAGATAATAAGGTTAATAACAGACACAGTGGATGTTATAATGCTCTCAGAATTTAGGAAATCAAAGCACTTCAGAATAATATTTACAGCTGTAACAGGGGCAAATAGTTACATTACTACAGAGTTCATACTTTCCTACTGTAAGAAATCCCTGTATGTAGCAACAGAGACATTTTAAATATGCAAATCAAGCTCTTTCATTTCTAAGCTTTAATTAGATCAGGTGTTATTATAGCCTTGAAATTTGGGGCTTTTTAATCTGGACTTTAAAAGCAGCTGCCGATTTCTCTCTCTTGTGTGTAAGCAATTTTATTTCCAACTTCACAGGCCAGATCTGCCAGTGGTAACACGTAACACAGCAATCAACCTCTAGGGAGCTTCAAAGAGAGAGAGAGAGTCTTCCCTTTGTTCACATTAAATGAAAACTTTGTTGGAGACCCATTATATAAAAGAGTGCAAAACATGGCTCCTGCCACACACCAAGTCTGGTCAGGGTTCAGATTAGCTCAGTCATCTCAGCACATTTCACCTCAATAAGAACACAAGAAATGCCACACGGGATAGATCACAGGTCAATCCAGAAGGGCGCAGGTGTCTTCCAGTAGCAGAGGGCATGTTAAGGAGAAGAATATTGAAGCAGAACGTAGCCACACTGTTCTCTCCCTTGACCCTCCCTCTGCAGCTCCCAGGTGAGCAGGAGTGGTATTTTTACTCTTTCACTTGTATCTTACTAGGTTTTGTATTTGGAACGTATGAACTTTCCAACAACTGTCTTGTCTCAGTATGAAAGAAGTTGAAGATGTCCATCTCATACAGCTTCAAAGCTGTTACTGAGACCTTTCGTAAGACCCCATGCTTTCTGTTCTCCTACAACCATGCCCTGCCATCGCCAGCAAGCAGCTCAGAAATAGGCTTCTGCCATGTCCCCTGCTGTTGCTGCATTGGTGAAACCACTGGAGATTAATAAAGAAATAAATCTCTAATTGACATGAGGGGAATTCAGACAAGAGACAAAAAAAACAAAACAACCTTGACGTAAAATGGAATAATACACAGTCAAGGATTAAGGCACTCCAGAATTTTAAAAAATGATAGGTGGGGTTCACAAGACATATGAAGCATGTCAGTCCTTCCACCAGTCAATGTGCTGACGCCCATGGGTTTTGTTGGGCACTGAATCAGAAAATTTCAGGAGTGTACCTGAGCATACTAAACAATGGCTCCTTCTCCTGTTTGAGTTTCAGAAATGCACCGCTCCCCACCACATAAGAGTATGGACCAAACTGGATTCATGCACAGGAGAGGAAATGGTCCCACCGACGACTGCTGTGCGTACCCTGCAGATGTACCCCAAATCCTCCAAATCCAATGAAGTCCATAGAGCAGGACCAGGAAGAAGGTTGACCCATAAACTTTTAATTTAAAAGACACCTGGGAGGTTGTCATTTGCCAGTCCTAAGCTAAATTAAAAAGCACAATAATTACAAACACGGAGCGAACTAATTACAGTATTTGGTGGGTTGGCACACACGACACATGCATGTTTTGTCACTAACAAGGACGTCAAGTACAGAAGATGCCGCAAATGCACCCGGCAGTGTGAGAACTGTATAAAAGGTCTCACAGTTGAGGATGTTTTAATCGCTTCTTGACTTCTCTATTTGGTGAGCCAGTTAAGTTCAATTCAGCTTCATCTCAAACAAGTATTTCTCTTTCAGCTGTAATTTAAAAACTGATATTCTACTTCTGTTCATTGGTTTTCAGCATTGCTCAGGGTCTTTCTCTTGTTTATGCTGCTTTGGTTGCAGTTGGTGGGTGGCAGGAATTAGGGTCTCACAGCCTGTGGGGTTGGCATTTCAAGTGCATTTTGGACACTAACCACCAGAGTGAAAGAGGGACTCAGCTGAAGTGATGCTGTGCCATGTCTTGTGCAAAGTTTAGGAATGCACAATCAGAAGTGAAAAGTCAAATCCTGAGTTAGGTGTCCAGGGCCCCCTTAGCTCAAAATCAGAGACTCAAGCTCCTCCAATTCAAACCAGGAAGCATATTCAGCCTTTTCAAAGCCCTTAGGATATAGAGCAATATCCAACATACCTCCTCTCTTCCCATCTGGGGTGATTCCTTGCAGCCCAGACTTTGCTCATGATTGTGGGATCCATGACTGCAAACTACCTAAACATGAATGCTCCTGCAGTGCAACAAGCTTCAGGGGTGCAATCCACCTTCACCCCCAGATCCCAGTGGCAGGAGACAGAAAGAGGAACACTTGGGTTCTGGGTCCTGAAGTGAATGCACATTCCCCACGTCCCAGGACTGTGCCTGCACCATTGGGCCAGGGGCTGCCTAGGCCTGGACTCCCTCCCCCATCCCTGCTGTAGCTGCCCTGCATGGAAAGAAAGTGAGAAGGCTTTAAAAACTGCAGCTGCCCCACAGGGGCCTGGAGCCTGCTTTCCAGCCAGCATTTTGCAGGCAAAGAAAGTGAGAAGGCTTCAAAACTGCTGTTTAGGGTAGAGGCTGAGGGCAAGTGAAGCAAAGGTGCAAGGTGTAGGAAAGGAGAGAAGCAACACTGGGACAAAGGAGGGCTGAGGTCAGCATTTCCCTGCTCCATCCCCCAGTCTCCAGGTCCCTACCAGGTTGCCCTGAGACTCGCACCTTTGATCAATTAGCACTGCACATGTGTCATGTTTCCTCTGCTCCCTGCTGTGTTTCAGGTTCGCCTCCAGCACAGCAAGATGTCTGACAGCCTTGGCATGTTGGAAGACCTGTGCTACCAGGACCCATCCTGTTGTTGGAGACCCCGCCGCACAAAGCTATGTTGGTGCTGTTGCTGTGATCCATGCACTGGAGAGGTAGTTTGGGAGGGATGGTGCTGTTGCCCCTGTTGGCGCGGTAGGGGCAGTTATGGAAGGCGCTGGCCATGCTAAATCCAGCTCGGATATCCACGGCACTTGAAGCAACCCGGACATGAAAAGCAAGATACAGATTCACGGCCGACCCGACGGACATGGCTTGAAGCAGTGCTAAGCACTCAGCACCTCCAGTGTGAAGGTTCAGTGTTGCTAAAAGACTCCCTCCCCAGGAAGTGTGTTTCCTATGCTTTTCTCTGTCAATCTAGGAACTTTGTATTCTCTGCACTGTTAAGCGTTAAGGCCTCTTCATGCTGTGCTGTCATTAGGTTCAGTGTTGCTAAAAGACTCCCTCCCCAGGAAGTGTGTTTCCTATGCTTTTCTCTGTCAATCTAGGAACTTTGTATTCTCTGCACTGTTAAGCGTTAAGGCCTCTTCATGCTGTGCTGTCATTTAAATGGATGCCTCTGCTTCCTTACAGTCCACTAGCAATGCATCACAGACCACTTGACACATCCACAGAGGTGTGGAAGAGGTTTGGTGACCACGTGCAAAGAATCCCTGTTGTGGTCCTTTGGAAAAACTTGAGAAAATTTGCTCTCTCTTCTGTATCCCTTCTGTCTGTATTCTCAACTTCTTCTGTGCATTAAAATTCCTCTGCAGCATAACATTTACATCCTGGGTTTTTTTCGCCTCCGTTCCTTATTTGCAGGCATTCTGGTGAAATTCCCTCCCGTGCAGCGCCCCGCACCCAGCATGACTCAAGTCCTACTGAAGTGCTACACAGAGATGAAAATCAGCCCTGGAGCTTGCCTGTGTCACCTGTTCTCAAGACAAACAAGTCTCTTTGAGAAAGGGGGAGTCCAGGGCCTGTCTGAAACCCTGTGTCTTCATGTCATTGGAAGCAGTAGTGCCCTATTCCATTTCCCCAGAACTCATAGATCCATAGATGTTAGGTTAGAAAGGGACCTCACTCGGTCATTGAGTCCTACCCCTGCCCTGGGCAGGAAAGAGCACTGGGGTCAGATGACCCCAGCTAGATGCTTGTCCAGTTTCCTCTTGAAGACCCCCAGGTTAGGGGAGAGCACCATCTCCCTTGGAAGCCCATTCCAGATTCTGGCAAACCTGACTGTGAAGAAGTTCTTTCTAATATCCAACCTAAATCTGCTCTCCATCACTTTGTGGCCATTGTTCCTAGTTACTCCAGGGGGTGCCCTAGTAAATAGAGCATCTCCTATTCCCTGCTGCCCTCCCCTGATGAACTTATAGGCAGCCACAAGATGACCTCTCAGCCTTCTCTTGCGAAGGCTGAAGAGATCTAAGTCCCTCAGTCTCTCCTTGTAGGGCTCTGTCTACAGGCCTCTAACCATATGCGCAGCCTCCTCTGAGCCCTCTCCAGATTGTCCGCATCCCTCTTGAAGTGCAGCACCCAAACTGGATGCGGTACTGCAACTGCGGCCTGACCAACGCCACATAGAGGCGAAGCATCACCTCCCTGGACCTGTTCATCATGCATCTGCTAATGCATGAGAAAGTGCTGTTAGCCATGTTGATCACTTCGTCACACTGACGACTCACGTTCATCTTAGAGTCAACTATGACTCCAAGATCCCTTTCCACTGCTGTGCTGCTGAGACGGTTGTTCCCCCAGCCTGTAAGTGTGTTGGTGGATCTTTTTGCCCAGGTGCAGCACTCTGCACTTGTCTTTGTTGCACTGCATCCTATTTCATTCTGCACAATTTTCCAACCTATCCAGGTCTGCCTGGATCCATTCCCTGCCCTCTGGTGTGTTAACGCTGAAGTGTCACGGGGTGAGGGAGACGCTGGGGTCGGGTGGGGGCAGAAAGGGGGATGCAGCAGGTAAAAGTGCAGAGGTGCCTGGAGTGTCAGATGTCCGGCAGGTCGCGGTGCGCCAGAACTCCACTGTCTATATTGGGTCCATGAGTTTCTGTACCTACTACACAGGAGGCTGATGAAGTGCAGTTCATAGGCCCAGCTCTGAAAAGTGGTTTGTACATTCAAACAAGCACCTAACCTCATCACCAGAACTGAAGCCAACTTCCTACAGCTCAAAACACAAAACCTGCCAACTATCTCCAGTACCACCACAAACTGCACACCAGAAACTATCAAAGACAACAAAACCCAACTACCTGTGGGTCTCTCCTTGTAGGGCTCTGTCTACAGGCCTCTAACCATATGCGCAGCCTCCTCTGAGCCCTCTCCAGATTGTCCGCATCCCTCTTGAAGTGCAGCACCCAAACTGGATGCGGTACTGCAACTGCGGCCTGACCAACGCCACATAGAGGCGAAGCATCACCTCCCTGGACCTGTTCATCATGCATCTGCTAATGCATGAGAAAGTGCTGTTAGCCATGTTGATCACTTCGTCACACTGACGACTCACGTTCATCTTAGAGTCAACTATGACTCCAAGATCCCTTTCCACTGCTGTGCTGCTGAGACGGTTGTTCCCCCAGCCTGTAAGTGTGTTGGTGGATCTTTTTGCCCACGTGCAGCACTCTGCACTTGTCTTTGTTGCACTGCATCCTATTTCATTCTGCACAATTTTCCAACCTATCCAGGTCTGCCTGGATCCATTCCCTGCCCTCTGGTGTGTTAACGCTGAAGTGTCACGGGGTGAGGGAGACGCTGGGGTCGGGTGGGGGCAGAAAGGGGGATGCAGCAGGTAAAAGTGCAGAGGTGCCTGGAGTGTCAGATGTCCGGCAGGTCGCGGTGCGCCAGAACTCCACTGTCTATATTGGGTCCATGAGTTTCTGTACCTACTACACAGGAGGCTGATGAAGTGCAGTTCATAGGCCCAGCTCTGAAAAGTGGTTTGTACATTCAAACAAGCACCTAACCTCATCACCAGAACTGAAGCCAACTTCCTACAGCTCAAAACACAAAACCTGCCAACTATCTCCAGTACCCCCACAAACTGCACACCAGAATCTATCAAAGACAACAGTACCTTGCTACCTGTGGGGGCACATTCCTCACCAAAAAAAACAGTGCCTCCAGTCTCTCAGGCCTGATCCTGAGAGGGAACAAATTACAAACCACTTTTCACAGCCGGGCCTATAAACTGCACTTCATCAGTCTCCTAGGTACAGACATTTATGGACTAAAAATACATTAGGCAGGGGAGTTCTGATACACTGCGACCGGCCGGACATCTGACTCCCCAGGCACCTCTGCACTTTTACATGCAATGCTACATCCCCCTTCTCCCCCTCCCCACTTCCAACCCAGCCTGTCCCTCACCCCTGGTGCCTCCATTTCCATTTTCACAGACTGGCTTTCTTGCCTGCATTGCAGGCCAGGCTAGCCTCTGGCTTCTTTACTATTCCTTCATCCCAGACCAGGAGACACACCAGCTGCAGGGACTTCCTCAGCCTGACAAAGGGTTTTTCAACACAAAAGCTGGCATCCTGGGCAGCTAAGCTGAGCTCACCAGGAGCCTCACAACTGCACTGCAACCAGCAAGCCTCAGACCTGTCAAAGATGTGATGGGTCTGGGCTTTTCCCAGCCAGGACTGTGTACATGCGTGCCTTAGCTGGAAGTCACGGCACCTCCTACCCACCTTTCACCAGGGGATCATTGGTCCTGGCATTAATGGAGCTGCTGCACCACCAGCAGTACCACCAGGCCTCCCTACCCTGGCAGAGTGCAGTTTTAGTGGTCATGCCCAGGACCTGAGGTCTCCTCCTTCCCCATAGCCCCAGCCCATACCTCCAAATTCATCCTGTCAGGGGAGCAAGCTCAGCAAGGACATGTTCTTCCCCTGCTGGCTGGTGATGCAGTTAGTGCCCCCTCCAGCTGAGAGTGGAGCATTAACTGGTTTTGAAAAGAATGAAAAAAGGAAATTGGTGTACTCAGTCTATCTGCAGGTGGAGCTTGGGGAACCCCAGCAACCGGACGTTCACCTTCAAGAACACCAGCTGCTCCACCAACGTAGGATCCAAGCAGGTGCGGTGGGGCATCACAACATCTCCAGCAATGCTGAACACCCTCTAGCTTGGAACACAGTTTGGTTGACAGAACAGGTGTTGCCGGGCAACCATGGCCAGATCCTGCCACATCTGGCCGCAGCTTGCCCAGTAGATCAAGGGGTCGCAGTCCAGTGGTGTGACATCCTCGGTGAGATAGGTAGCCACTGAAGCCTCAGCGCTACCTGCCCGAGTGTGGGGTCTGGTGTGTTTGGAATCCCATCATTGAAGCCATGCCCTTGGCCCACATTGGTAGCGGCTGCCATGGAGGAGACTGGCTGGTGCTGATGCCGGTGGTGGTGCTGGTGCTGGGTGTGCTGGCACAGGAAACTGGATTCCCCTCTTCCACATCCCCTCACCTCTGCCCTTGAGCCTCCCTGACTTTGTTGACCGGCACCTGCATCCAGTGATCAAGGGTTTGGTGCTGCCAGTGCACATGCTCCCCTTCACCCTCAGGTCACACGCCTGCCAGCATGTGGACCGTACTGGACTGCAAAGGATCCAGCTGTCTCCTGATGCCCTCCTTCAGCCTCCTCACCAGTGCCTGCATGTGTGGTGACAGCAGCCTGTCCCAGCCAGGAACATTGATCCCCAGGAACTTCTCCATTTGGTTCTGAAGTTCCCTCACTACGGGGATCACCCCGCTGAGGAGGGCATCACCAGCACTGAGGCTCTCAGTGGCCTCAAGGAAGGGCTTGAGGACCCCCAAGATCTGGGAGATGGTACCCCACTCAGCTCTGTTCAGGGGGCCGCTGATCCCAATCTCCCCAAGAAAGGCCATCTCATAGCTGGCCTTCAGTTGCTCCTCCAACCTCTCGAGCATCAGGTATGTGGAGTTCCACCCAGGGGGTGGGGTTTGTCGAATGAGTGGGGGACTTCCCTTTGGGCATGCTCACACCAATGCCAGGCTGAGCAGGAAGAAGGGCAAGGGAGTGCTTCCTCCTGAGATACAGCAGTATCACCATGGTGGTGAAGTGTTTCACCTCCTTGCCCTGGCTGATCTGCTTTTGGCAGTGCTGGCAGATAGCAAACCTGGAATCATCTGCCAGCTCAAAATGCTCCCACACTACACTACTCACCCATTTCTGGGTTGAGGATGGGGATGCTGCCTTATCCCTCTCCTCAGCAGGCTGAGGCACAACAACAGGAGGAGCTGCCTCAGCTAAGCCACTTGCCTGAGCCTCCACTACCTCAACCTCCTCTGAGGTGCTGCTTTCTGGAGAAGGAGACCTGGGTCTAGGGGAACTTTGAGGGGTGTGGAGCACAAACTCCGATTCCCCCTCGGTCTGCAGAAGCGGATCCCCCTGCTTGAGCCAGGGCGCTGAGGTCCCCTGGTTCCAGCTCCAGCTCCTCCTCTGGCAGTGGGAGGAGGAGACAGTGATTCTGCTGCTGCTGCCTATTTCTGGAGTTAGGGGAGGTGGTGCAGTTGCAGGGACCTTAGGTACTGCTCCCACCTCCTTGCTTCCACTGGCAGCAGAACCCTCATGACTTCTTGGAAAGAGGATGCATCTATGTTGTCGGGTGGGGGTGGGGGTTCGGGGGTGGAACTTGCAGGTCTAAGTCTCCCCCTACCCCCTCTAGTTCCTCTCCCTCCCCTGCCAGGAGACCTGGCACCTGCCTTTCCACCACACTTCATATTAATGTTTCCTGTGCTGGAAAAGGTGCGTGTGT